CCCCACTGTCTCGGCTGGGCCTATAGCCCCCGCACGTGACACTCACAAAGATTATTCAGCAGTAAAGTGCACTCGCTGGCAGAGACAAACTGGGAATCCAAAGCAGCCCTGGAAAAAAAACGTATGCCATTCCTACAAGTCAATATATATATATATATATATATATATATATATATAGTACAGTAAGCACACAAGCTCACTGACATGCGCAAATAGGCTTACTGACAGACAAAACTCTCTGACTCACACACAAGCTTACTACAGACAAACTCACTTGTATAAACAGAAGGCTCACTACAAAGAAGTTCAGGGACACACACAAGCTCACTAAAGACAAGTTCACTGACACACACATGCTCACTAAATAGAAGCTCACTGACACACACAAGCAGTACCATTTTAACAGAGTTAAGGGCCCCTGGGCAAAGCAATGCACTGGGGCCCTTCCTACACAACAACTCACAGGAATTTTAATTATTGATAGACTGCGGAGTCCATACACACACACACAGACTGCTGAGTCCATACACATACACACACAGATTGCTGAGTCCATACACACACACACACACACACTGCTGAGTCCATACACACACACACAGACTCTGCTGAGTCCATACACACACACACATACACACACACACACACACACATACTGCTGAGTCCATACACACACACAGACTGCTGAGTCCATACACACACAGACTCTGTTGAGTCCATACACACACACAGACTGCTGAGTCCATAAACACACACACACACAGACTGCTGAGTCCATACACACACACAGATTCTGCCGAGTCCGTACACACACACAGACTGCTGAGCCCATACACACACACAGACTGCTGAGTCCATACACACACACAGACTGCTGAGTCCATACACACACACACACACACAGACTGCTGAGTCCATAAACACACACACTCTGCTGAGTCCATACACACACACTGCTGAGTCCATACACACAAACACACACAGACTGCTGAGTACATACACACACACAGACTGCTGAGTCCATACACACACACAAACACACACACTCTGCTGAGTCCATAAACACACACACCCTGCTGAGTCCACACACACACAGAGACTGCTGGTCCATACACACAGACTCTGCTGAGTCCATACACACACAGACTCTGCTGAGTCCATACACACAGACTCTGCTGAGTCCATACACACACAGACTCTGCTGAGTCCATACACACAGACTCTGCTGAGTCCATACACACACACACACAGACTCTGCTGAGTCCATACACACACACACAGACTCTGCTGAGTCCATACATACACACACAGACTCTGCTGAGTCCATACACACAGACTCTGCTGAGTCCATACACACACAGACTCTGCTGAGTCCATACACACACAGACTCTGCTGAGTCCATACACACACACACACTCTGCTGAGTCCATACACACAAACACACACACTCTGCTGAGTCCATACACACAAACACACATACTCTGCTGAGTCCATACACACACACAGACTGCTGAGTCCATACACACACAAGCACACAGACTCTGCTGAGTCCATACACACACACAGA